CAGTTGTGATCTGTTAAAAAAAACACATGATGTCATGCTCCCTGAACCACCTGTAACACATAAAACAGTCGTGATCTGTTAACAAACACGTAATGTCATGCTCCCTGAACCCCCTGTTACACATAAAACAGTTGTGATCTGTTAAAAAACACATGATGTCCAGCTCCCTGAACCACCTGTAACACATAAACCCTTTCCAGAAGGGTCACGGGTCAAAAGCCATGTCATCGCGTTTCTTGACTCGCATTCACAATTTTATTGAACTACTGTTTTATGAATTTATGTCAATAAGTTTGGTATCAAATTGTAGATTATAATTGAAATTTTAGTATTATACATTACTCAATTTCTTAATTCAAAAGTAAATATTAAAAAAACACAGTTATACAACAATTTTTGTGTTTTATGTGGTATGTTGAATGCAGCACTGGTTCAAATTAGATGTTTGTGATGTCACCAGCAACCGAGTACAAATGTCGTAACCAGAAGAGATAAATGTTAATTTACTGTATAAACTTAATTAGTTGAAAATCTGACCAGACACTTCTAAACTTTCCTTTAATTTATGGTCTACATTAATTCAGTTGAGAATCTGACCAGACACTTCTAAACTTTCCTTTAATTTACGGTCCACATTAATTCAGTTGAGAATCTGACCAGATACTTCTAAACTTTCCTTTAATTTACGGTCTACATTAATTCAGTTGAGAATCTGACCAGACACTTCTAAACTTTCCTTTAATTTACGGTCTACATTAATTCAGTTGAGAATCTGACCAGATACTTCTAAACTTTCCTTTAATTTATGGTCTACATTAATTCAGTTGAGAATCTGACCAGACACTTCTAAACTTTCCTTTAATTTACGGTCTACATTAATTCAGTTGAGAATCTGACCAGACACTTCTAAACTTTCCTTTAATTTACAGTCTACATTAATTCAGTTGAGAATCTGACCAGACACTTCTAAACTTTCCTTTAATTTACAGTCTACATTAATTCAGTTGAGAATCTGACCAGACATTCTAAACCATTCAGTAGCAACAATTGAAAAGAACATTTGTGGAGATATAAACACAGTTCTCAAGCTAATAATATAATGAAACACCAACGTGAAAGTACTCGAGAACAAATTGTCTTCAACACCTCCGTAAGGCGTAACACATTCTACAGCAGAGAAAAATCTACTGGTTTCTCAACAAAAACATTTACCTGTACATCTACATAGGAGTTAAGTCTCACAAATTTTGTTTGGAATCCTGTCTGCCTGTCCACCCAAGATCTCGAGCCATAAATAAAGGTAATGGGCACGTCTTCTCTAAGCTGGTGAATCCGACTGATCATCGGGTGCTTTGCCCATCCAAAGTGAGCCGTCAGAGCCATGAAGGCTTCCTCTCCGCTACAGTGAACATAAAATTGAGATTCAATATATTTTATTTGAAAAAAATAAAAAATTAAACAATACTCTGATAAGTTTGTGTTAAAGCAACTATCCATTAGTATAGCGTACGACATTTCTCACATCGTGCAGTAATAATACAAGATACTATACATAACTAACTTGTCAACGATAACACAAGATACTATACGTAACTAACATGTCAACTATAACACAAGATACTATATGTAACTAACATGTCAACAATAACACAAGATACTATACGTAACTAACATGTCAACTATAACACATGATACTATATGTAACTAACATGTCAACAATAACACAAGATACTATACGTAACTAACATGTCAACTATAACACATGATACTATACGTAACTAGCATGTCAACAATAACACAAGATACTATACGTAACTAACATGTCAACTATAACACAAGATACTATACGTAACTAACGTGTCAACTACAACACAAGATACTATACGTAACTAACATGTCAACTATAACACAAGATACTATACATAACTAACATGTCAACTACAACACAAGATACTATACGTAACTAACGTGTCAACTACAACACAAGATACTATACGTAACTAACATGTCAACTATAACACAAGATACTATACATAACTAACATGTCAACTACAACACAAGATACTATACGTAACTAACATGTCAACAATAACACATGATACTATACGTAACTAACATGTCAACAATAACACAAGATACTATACATAACTAACATGTCAACAATAACACATGATACTATACATAACTAACATGTCAACTATAACACAAGATACTATACGTAACTAACATGTCAACTACAACACAAGATACTATACATAACTAGCATGTCAACAATAACACAAGATACTATACGTAACTAACATGTCAACACATGTTCCCTAAACTTCATAAATCTATGGTTTTTACAGATGTTCTCCAAACTTCATAAATCTATGGTTTTTACAGATGTTCTCCAAACTTCATAAATCTATGGTTTTTACAGATGTTCTCCAAACTTCATAAATCTATGGTTTTTACAGATGTTCTCTAAACTTCTAAATCTATGGTTTTTACAGATGTTCCCTAAACTTCATAAATCTATGGTTTTTACAGATGTTCCCTAAACTTCATAAATCTATGGTTTTTACAGATGTTCTCCAAACTTCATAAATCTATGGTTTTTACAGATGTTCTCTAAACTTCTTAAATCTATGGTTTTTACAGATGTTCCCTAAACTTCTTAAATCTATGGTTTTTACAGATGTTCTCTAAACTTCTTAGCAAATATAAACTTATGTTCAATGAGGAGAAAAACTTAAACAAACCAAAAAGTTCATGTTAACAGATGAAAACACTTAGAGATGCACAGAACGACATGTTAACAGATGAAAACACTTAGAGATGCACAGAACTACATGTTAACAGATGAAAACACTTAGAGATGCACAGAACACATGTTAACAGATGAAACACTTAGTAGATGCACAGAACGACATGTTAACAGATGAAAACACTTAGAGATGCACAGAAATACATGTTAACAGATGAAAACACTTAGAGATGCACAGAACGACATGTTAACAGATGAAAACACTTAGAGATGCACAGAAATACATGTTTAACCATAGAGATGCACAGAACTACATGTTTAACCACAGAGATGCACAGAAATACATGTTTAACCATAGAGATGCACAGAAATACATGTTTAACCATAGAGATGCACAGAAATACATGTTTAACCATACAGATGCACAGAACTACATGTTTAACCATAAAGATGCACAGAAATACATGTTTAACCATAGAGATGCACAGAAATACATGTTTAACCATACAGATGCACAGAACTACATGTTTAACCATAAAGATGCACAGAAATACATGTTTAACTATAGAGATGCACAGAAATACATGTTTAACTATAGAGATGCACGGAACTACATGTTTAACCATAGAGATACACAGAACGACATGTTTAACCACAGAGATGCACAGAAATACATGTTTAACCATAGAGATGCACAGAAATACATGTTTAACCATAGAGATGCACAGAAATACATGTTTAACCATACAGATGCACAGAACTACATGTTTAACCATAAAGATGCACAGAAATACATGTTTAACCATAAAGATGCACAGAAATACATGTTTAACCATAGAGATGCACAGAAATACACGTTTAACCATAGAGATGCACGGAACTACATGTTTAACCATTATTGTTTTTCTTTGTGTATTACACTAAGTAAATGGCAGAATGACAATATCAATTCTGAATAATTTTTGAGTTAACAAGTGTTGAAACAGAGTTAGGGTTTTGATGTGTGATATTCAGATTTACTCACCAAGTATCATACACAACAACAACACACGCTAGACACGTTAACACAATTAATTCTTACGTTGGTTTCTGTGCATTACAATGATATATGTATGATGGAATGGCTTCTTTATCTTGAACGACAGGGTTAAACTTTTGACACAAGTCAGGTCGAAACTTGTCAACCAGTTGTGGACCTGTAACAGAAACATTTATATTATTCGAGCAGTTTAACAACATTTTTTTTTACACAACTCGATGTTGCAAAGTTTTCACTGTTCTTAATTGAGTACCTTATATTTTAATAATGCTAATTACATTTTGATTAAATATTTGTCGGCTACAAAGTAAGGGAAAGTTAACTATACATCGTTTAGTAGCAGCTTTAGTCTAGTTTTTTTTAATGAAAACCCTTCTCTAAAGAAGTTTGAATTATAGTAAATTCAGTTGCATACACCATCGACATCCAGTTTTAGGAAATATTTCCAATTTATCTTTTATTAACCTTAAACGGTGTACAAGTGTCCACTCACCCCAAGGTCCAGCTACTCTGAGGGCAGCCAGAGGATTAAATGGACGTAGCATGGTAGCAACTAGTTTCACCCACATCGGGAGTTCATAATGATGACTCGTTGTGATTGGTCTTTCTGGAAATCCCCAGGGATCAGCCAATATCAAATGAGCTATTCTGTCAGGATGAGCCATTGCGTATGAAGTTGCTATGTAACCACCTAAACTATGGCCTAAGAGAACCATTCGATTAAGACCCACCCTATTTCTCCATACCTCTATACCTGCAAAGATAAAGGCATTTATTACATCACATGTAGAGACACACACACACACACAGACTGCCTTGGGTTTGTTTTTAACTAATCCTGATATGAAATTTTACAAGCTACTAAAGAATTTCGTTATACATTTGTTAACCTGGAAGTTATTTTGAATTTTTAAAGATAACAATGCAAGCTACTAAAGAATTTCGTTATGCATTTGTTAACATGGAAGTTATTTTGAAGTTTAAAGATAACAACTATTGCTGGTCGAGCCCGGTGACTTATCCAATAACAACTACTGTTTCACATATAAATACTTTGACTCTTAAGAGCTTGTTTTTGTCAACTATGTATAGCAACAAGTTAACCGATCTACAAAAAGTAAACCTACCCACTCTTCTGTCATGATTACACATTTTTTTGTCCAAGAAAATATTCATAGTTAAGCCCATGGGAATCGCTAGGTACTTGAAAAATTTGGGGCTCAGGCTTATAGACACGGGAAATTTTGCCATTTCAGTATGACATCAATCATGGTTTTATGTTCTGATTTTTCAAGACACCAACTGGAGATTTGGAGCACTGTCAAACAGAATTGGGGCACAGGTGCCAGTGCCTAGCAAAGCCTCTGTTTGAAACTTATAAATGGTTGGGCTGTAGTGTTAGTTTTAAAATTTAATAATTAATATTCTTGGAAACTTTGTTATGATTTAGAGAGGCTTCATAATTTGTTGTTTTTTTATTCTATTATTTATTACTCTATTTAATAATTGTTACATTTTTTTTTTAGAATACACTTTCTGAAGATATACATATAGAAAATAAACAATATTCCAGCTATACCAAAACTGTTTAATTTCAAAAACAAAAATATATTACTTGGAAAATAATCTGACACTTTAAAAGTAACAAAAAATACAAAGTGTGCTTCTTTGTTTTTTTATTGTTGCCATGTGCAAAGCTACACAATGGGCTATTTGTACTGTGCCCACCACAGGTATTGAAACTCGATTTTTTAGCATCAGAAGCATGCCGAGCCAACGAGGGACCTGTTCTTCACAAACTATATATATCGTAAAACAATACTGTGAACTAATACTATTTACTGTAATAGCTTAATCAGTAAATATAAACACTGGGAATTGTAACTAGCTTTTTGATGGTAATATTTTTGGTCTAAATATAGATTTCACATTTCCAAGAATAATATTTAATTATTTTTAAAAGCTCGGATCCGCATAACTTTCATTAAAAAAAGAGTGTTATTTTCGGATCAGTATCGAATTATATAGTTGTACAGGTTTCTTTCAGTAATCTTAAATTTAAGCACGTAGAAAAAAAAAACAATTTGGTTACAAATTTATCTAATACATTAGGATAAATGGTTGAGTTTTATTAAATATTTTCACATTCCAAGCTTCAAAATAGAAACACTACTTCATTCAAGACCCTGTAGAAAAAGTTGAACCCACACAAGACTCGAGTTCATTCCGCTAGATATTCCAATGGAAGTTTTTCATCCCTTAAAGAAATCGACAGTCTTAACTTCACATTAACTAATTCATGATCATCCCGATGCTACCAAGTCCCGTAAAACTTTCATTACTTAAGAGAAGTTTCAAATACTAGTTTTCTAAGAACTAAGTTAAATAACAACATTATCAGTTGAAAAAAATTATTTATTAAATTCTGCTATTCTAACAAAAGGTGTAATTTTACAATGGTCCTAATTTCCTTCTTATCAAACCTGCTCTAATTTTCAATTAACTATAATTTTTAATACATTTTACGTGTTTTCCTATGTAGCTTAAGTATAGTAGATAGTTGGCCATGAAACTGTTTAAAACATATAATTTAACAATGAAATATATCTAAAGAAATAAAGGTTCATACTTTCAACAAACTGTCTTTCCACCTCAAAGGGCTCAGTACTGAATGTTGGTCGAGAACTACGGGCAAATCCCAACATATCAAAAGCATACACGGGTCTGAACGACGAGAGACTATCAATATTTAACAGCCACAACCCCACGCCAGACCCAAAGCCGTGGAGAAGAACGACTGGCAGACGGTCACTTCTTTGATCTGCATTTAACTTGATGGTCCACATTCTGTGATCTTCCAGTGTCCATAATTTTCCCACATTTACAAACTGGCCGTGACACTTTCTACTGATAACTGAAACAGAAATTTAACGACCTCGTTATCTCGCCCATTTAAAAAAGGTACACACATAACAGAAGTTGTTTATTGAAACCTACTAGTAAAAAGGTCATTACTTCGTCCAGAATACATTATATAACTGTTAGTAAACTGTTTCAAAATTAATTTTAAGCTAACCAACTTTTAGTTTAGAAGTTTTTCTCTCTTTGATTAACTTTACAGTTTTCGTGAAATATTCTATCAACCCTTTTGAGATCACACTTATAAAATGAAGCAGAGTCGTTTTCAAGTTTGTTTCTGAAAAAGACAAGTTTAATGTTTTAAAACAAGGTGTCAAACATAAAAAAAACTGTAATTTAATACCATCCATTAAACTGGTAAAAATAAAAAAAACGAAACACTGACAACAAAGAAAGCAGCGCTGAAATTGTTGATAACAGAGAAAAAAGAGCTTAGTCTTGTAGCTGGCACCAGTATGACAGTGATACTTGTTCCGAATCGTGGCTAGGGTCAACTAGACAGCTGCTTTCAGTAACACAGAACTGAAAACCTAGCTATTAAAATAACAATAACCTAAAAATGGTCACCTACTTGTGTACCACTACATTTTCTACCTCTGTCACGTGTAGTTTGAAAAACAATTATCTTTTGTGCATGATACTACATCAAGACCAAGACTTGAATGTTATTAACTGACATGAAGTAGCCCTCGGGCTCCCAGGTTTGATTCCCACAACATCAAGTAACTGAAATGTTGATACTCAGCTACAAATTAAATGTAGAATTTACACTTGTAATATTTAAAATAATCAAATTTTATAAACTAAAACTATTCTGGAAAATGCTGAGATAAAACTATACTTCGTAAAGAAAGATGTTTATTTCCTCCTGACTTTGTAATCTTCCCGATACTGAAATAACGTAATACAATGACGAGTTTAACCATCTGTTTAAATACTGTACGTCTTACAAATCTATAACAATGTGAAAAAAAATATATATGTGAAGAAATAACAGTGTCATAGAGATAAAAAAAAAACTACAACAAATGTTATAAGATCAAAAAGAAATTTCTGAAACAATTCCAGCTTTTTCTAGCTGGGACATAGATGAATATCTGCACACTAAAAAGAATGTATCTACATAGTTTTTACTTTTATTACACACTGAATGTTTGTCCATTTTTCTATCCTTTAAGTTACGTTGTTTTCAAACCAATTATTATGCTACTATCGTACTAAGAACAAATTAATTCATGTAAATCAGCATTTCAAACAACTCAAACATATCATCTTCATTATGAAGATGTGACACAACGACAACCTGAACTAGAACTGTTCAACTTTAAACAGATACTTACATGAAAGAACTTTCATCTCTGAAGTCTCCAGTTCTTCAACTGAAGTTGGACACCAACGAATCCAGCCCATCATCCAATCAGGAACAAATTTCCAAAGTATCATAAACACATTTACTACCAGCCCAGCTATTGAAACAACCCACCTGATAAATGAAACAATAAGAACGAATGTAATTATTGTATGCTTGCTAAATATAGGCTTGTTTCTACCTAAAAGAATCTTTCCAATCTCGACTCTCTTAGTTTCTCCATTAAAATATATCATTAATTGCTTCAAAAAAATGTATGAAACTCCAATGAAGATACAAGTCATTCCTGTGATTCCATATGTAAATCATTTGGTTAGATCACACTGCCTTAAACAAGTATTTCAAGTTTATTACGCACTGAAGCACAAGTGAATTTAGATTATAAGAAGTTAATAAATTTAATGGTGGTTGGACAATGTCAGTATAAATCCCCACTTCAATGCTTTAATAAACTGTTAACTTCTGTAACTCTGTAAAGCCTATGCTGAAAGTTAATCCAAGGAACCCTTGACATACCACAGAAAAAAAAAGGAACTTGTTCATATTGGCACTTAAAGAAAAAGGCTTCTGACTTCTTTGTGCTGTATCCTGATTGCAACAGAACATGAGGACACAAGCTCCAGCAAACTTCAAAATGTGACTGGTTTATGAAGTCAGTTGCCATGACATTAGTGGAAGGCAGTGCCATGTAGGAGTTGAAGAGTAAAGTCACCGATTTCTTGTAAACTAAAAGATAGGTTTAAATTTTTCTTTTCATTTCCTCAAGGATGAGTTTTCAAAGACAGTCTTGGAGAAGCAAAAAAGGGACCATTTAACATATGAGCTCCAAGATGACAAGCAAAAAAGGGACCATTTCCTTATATGTTGTCATCTTGGAGAAGCAAATGGTCCTTTTTTCTTATATGTTGTCATCTTGGAGAAGCAAATGGTCCTTTTTCTTATATGTTGCCATCTTGGAGAAGCAAATGGTCCTTTTTCTTATATGTTGTCATCTTGAAGATCAAAATGGTCCTTTTTTTTCTCATATGTTGTCATCTTGGAGATCAAAATGGTCCTTTTTTTCTTATATGTTGTCATCTTTGAGAAGCAAATGATCCTTTTTTCTCATATGTTGTCATCTTGGAGAAGCAAATGGTCCTTTTTTCTTATATGTTGTCATCTTGAAGATCCAAATGGTCCTTTTTTTTCTCATATGTTGTCATCTTCACCATAAGGTCAATGCTGGTGCCAGATTCTTGCTGCTGGTAGGGGAGGATGAGGTGGACTACACAAAACAAATGAGGAGGCTGAATTTTCCAGGGGAAGCTAAGGCATACATTTTGGGATGGCTTCAGCCCCAATAAGCACCACCACCACCCTTGCAAAGAGCATGTATGGTTAACTGCTTTAAGTTTGACTAATGTTGTTGATACTTCTTTCCAGACTAATTATATAATTGGTTCACTGTTTTATATCCCAATTTTGATGAAATTATGTATATGCTAATAAGTATTATAGCTATCAAATTACTACATTGTAGCTTGCTTTTTGAAATCTTGTTAAAACCAAGTTATATTATTGTTTACGTTTTTTCTAACATTCTGCTGCATTAATCTTTTATAATGAATGTGATATAGTTAGTTAATAAAGACTATAATCAAAATACAACCAACTATATATTTCAGAACCAGATCTTAATTAAAATATATATTTATATAATTAGTCAAATTAATCTACATTCAAAAATGACAAAGTCTCAATAAAATTTAAAAAATTAGTTTTAATAATAATACCTAAAGGTCAATATATATTACATACAAATGTTTTAATTTTGGAATTAAACTTCGAAACTATAACAATATAACCTACCCTTCAGTGGCTTCACTAGCTGGTCTGAAATTATCCGCCTGTTTCGATCTATTTCCCATAAATTATTATTTTTATCATATTAACTAATAATTAAGTTAGTTCAAATAATACACTATGAATTATGATATACTTGCTACTTAATAAGTAGTAAAAAGCTCTTTCTTTTGGCACTTTATTTTTCACCTTCGCTTCGCGAATTTATGGTAGAACTTAGAAGTCAAGAGGGTTAGTCACCTACACAGTCCTAAAGGTTACTAACGTGAATAAAATATATAGAGAAAATACGTTATCAATGATAAAACTAGGTCAAGGTATAGCGCAATCTCTCCCATACTGCGTGTTACGCAAAGATAACTTGGAATTATGCCATAACTAAAAGTAAAATAATAAGTCAGAAAAATGTTATCAATCAAGGTTTGCTATATAGATAAACTACACGACCGCCATCTTAGTTATTTTATTAATTGCGGTCTGTAAAATATTTTGGCGTTTTAGATTAAATTGAAGTTTAAAAGTAATATTTCAATTTTAAGAAATATTCTTTCTATCCGAATTTTGAATCAATAAATATCTAACTTAATAATTTTTTTATTAGATTTTAGAGCATATCCAGAGATACTGTGGCATAGCTATTGTTACGACAGCGAGGGTCACGTGACCCTAGTAACACGTCATATTCTCGAAGGTTCGTGAATCCTCGAGTGTTTACTAGATTTGCGGTATTCTTGTATATATACGACCGCCAAGAAGTGACGGCAACGATGTATTTGAACTGCAGACAGAGATAAAGACTGACAATTGAGTCGAGCGAGCTCATGAGTCGTTTGTTGTGAATTATAGCGTTTGTTATGGCGTGACTGTGGAAATTAAGTGTATTGCTAAGTTGTATTCAGAAAGAATAAACCAGTTTTATTTAAGAAAGGACTTGTAACGCTAAAGTTTCTTCGGAAAGAATTTTTACGGAAAATTAACTAACGACCAGAGACTTAACAATATTAAAATAAATACTGAAAATTATCACACAGTAAAAGTTTATTCATTTTTTTATTATGTTTATTGATTGTACGGAAGAGAAATCAACGCCGCCAGCCTCTCTCAATATAGTGAAAATGAAATAGTTTATAACTATTAGCCCTATTTCATCTTTATTAACAATGTAAAACAATAGCAGTGCAGTCAGTTTAACGTTTGCTGCTAATTTTTTGTTATGATTAAGTCCAAGATAATTCTAATTTAACTTTCATCTAGTAAAAACAGGACATTTGTCAGTCGTAATGGTTTTCATGGAAATTCGTATAGTAGCAACTACAAAAATATTTAATACTTTGTAATCTATATAAATATAATAATACTGTCTGTTGTGTGTCCGCAGGATGTAGATGGATCTTCATCAAAATTGGTATGGAGGCTAATTAGGTCCATACCGGGATACATAAAAATTTTCAGTTTTGCATTTTGTGGTTTCTATGGACGTTTTTGCGTTTTTTACCACTACTTTGTCCTCAGTTGATGTATCTTCACCAAATTTGGCATGAAGGTTTGTTGGGTCCATACGGAGATGCTTGCAAATTTGTAGTTTGTATGGACGTTTTTGCGTTTTTTACCACTACTTTGTCCTCAGTTGATG